GGGCCGCAGGTTGGATTCGAACCCGGGCCGCTGCAGCAACTCCATATATGGGTTGCCAGCTCTACCGACTGAGCTAACTGTGCGCCCTGAAATGTGCTTTTTAAATGTAGCTGCCAATGTCACACTCTGTGGGTTTGCAATGATGCAAGTAGCGGCGAAATGAAAGAGAGCTGCACCAAAATGAAAGGAGGTGTTTGTATTTTGTAAAAAAATAAATAGCTAGAATAAGAGCACTTGTGATACACTCTCATCCAATGTGGATATCTTATTTAACTCATGCACAAATACAGCCAGACTGTCACTACTGTCATCCAACCTTTTTCCAGTCCATACAGTATATCCTTCATTCATGTAACAGGATTAGACACAAGCCCACCAGGTATTAGCTCCAGGTCACTAATGCTCCAGGCCACTTCAAAGACCCGTTCAAAATAGACCCTCTCAGCAATTAGATCTCTAAGTGCAGCAGAGATTTACCCGTGGGTAGTTACAACGAACTGGGTGAAGAGCAAAATCATGGCTGTAAATGTTTTGGACAAATTTGATAGTGGATAGTAAGGAGACAATTATTTATTTTGCCATGACAATGGGGTACCAAAGTCAGGAATTTATTTAGCAATATATGTTCAATACACAGGGGCTTTATTTATCCATGCTACATGATTGATCATGATGGAAATATGACCTAAGACATTAGGCCAGACCCAAACAGAAAACTATACAGATTACAAAGAGTCTTGTTTACAGATTAATCAAACTTTACCGTTGTGACTTGCAACATCAGCAGCACATGACAAGATTCAAGAAACCTATAATTTTATTCAAAGAGTGCTGAAGTAATGTTGACTGCTTAAATTGAGTGAGAGAAGTTTTGACTGGCTCGTAAACAATCTTTTTTGTGTTGGCGGAGAATTCTTGTTTGAAACAGTTTTGTTTTAGTCTCTGAAAAATGATGAAACAGAAGTGGACATTGGCATTTGGAGCTCGTTGTCCATCTGAAAAAATTGTACTTGCACCTAAATACATAAAATAAAAGTGTTTAAATTGGGCAAGAAGTAAAAAACAAACAAACCTGACTAACAACTGGGTGGTTAGGGTGGAAACTGCTGCTCAGAAATAAATCCATAATTAGGCACGAGCAGAAAGAGGGTTTCGTCAGACAGAAGAGGAAGTGGTGGCTGCTGCAGCATCTGTTTAACCCACAGCTAAACCCACCAGTGTAGGCGCAGCACTGACTGGCCTTTTATCCCACTGCATCCCCCTGAGGGACATGTAGCACTGTCACACAGTCTTTGCACAATAATGTACTGTACCTTTTTATAAAACACCACATGAGCTGTACAGCTGAGCATACTGAGTGCTCTCCAACATGTGAGAAACCGGATACAACCACAGCACAGAGAGTCTGAAGTTTTTTGTTTGTTTTTCTTTTATTGGCACAGATGATCTACCCTACTTGAAGTGTCCCCTGCACACTGTCCTAAAATTGACCCCTGTGGCTTATGGTAAGTCACTACACTGTCCATATACCAACACAACTAGCTTTTTCCTTTGCTGGGTCGTGACATATTTTCCTCCTGTCTCCCTCTACTAGGTTGTAAAGTGGACATGTTTGACTTGAAGGTCGAGGCTGTCAACACTCACAGAGACAGGCCATTAGTAAGCTTCTGACCTTTTTATTATTTTGTGTCATGCACATGCTATCAGTTCTCTGAGTCAGAAGTTGTCACCGTCCACAGTTTAGTCCGAGTGCAGCCTGAAGGATCAGTTTAACCACTACAGTCATAACTGGACAAACTGCTCAGACCAACTAAAATTACACACTACTGTTGAAGCTTTCAGGAGTCAGATCTTCTTTTAAAAGTCCCGGATGATGATAAAACTCTGTACACACAGTGAGAAATCTACATATTCTTAAATGCTCATTCCTTTCTTCAGTTTTATACTTTACTTTCTATAAAAAGAAAGTTTAACATTTGACAAAGCTGCTTTCTTGCCAAGAGTTAAATGAGAAGATGGATGCCACTCTGATTTCTGTCTATTAAATATGACGTGACAGCCAGCAGCTGGTTTGCTTAACTTAGCATAAAGGCTGAAAACAAGGGGAAACAGCTAGCATTGCTCTGTGCAAAGGTAATAAAATCTTCCTACCAGCACCTTTTTAATGTTATGTGAGAAATACTTCTTGGGAACAAGAAGTAGTCCAGCACATAACCCCTCGTAAGAAGCTAAGTTCAACAAATGAGATATAACGTGTTGATTTGAGGATGTAAGGTGCTCAGGGGCAGATTGTGTCCAAAATATTAAATTTAATGTGTGTTTGATTTGGTGCTAGGCAGGTAGATTACAGTGGGTTTATCAGAGCTTTTTTTTTTTTAGCTTTTTTAGCTTCCTGCCTCTGGAAACAACCCTGATGAGAGCAGTTCTAGTGAACCAAAACAGTAAAGTTATGGGCTGTTCAACCAAAAACATCAGCTGGAAGACACTGAAATGCTCCGTAGAACTGAGGGATAATATGTGGATTCATCATTACGAACAACCCCCTTCACATTCACATTGTCATTTCAGCCATTGTCGAATATTATTATTATAACAACTTTAATGTAAGAACTAAAGGTTTATTATTGAGCACAAAAATCACATTAGCTCATAAATCAGTGTCGGGAAATTCCCATGCCACACACAGTCCTGAACCTTTATGTTCTTACATAATCAAACCGCTTTATATCTCTTCCATTGTTGTGCTTATGAGTGCCAAGTGTCAAAACCTAGACAGAGTGGGTGTTACCACCGAACCACATTTACTGAGGAACCTCTTGTTAAATGGGGTGAAAAATATCCTGTCTGCTGAGACCAACATTACAATGGGCTTTATATCCATGGCTGTTTGTCTCAGTACTTGTTTTTCTTCCTTTGCCTCCTCACAGTCACTTACACAGCGCACAGTGGTTTCATTCCTATGGTAGGAGAATTTTAATTAGTATAACCTTTAAAAAACACATGTGTTAATCAGTCCGCCTTCACTCTTCTTCTTCACCGACCAGAATAAAGTCAGAACAGATGCTGTGCCACCAGGTTTCCACCGACGAAACAGCTTCACTCCGCTGTCCAGCCAAGACCAGATTAAACGACCTCGCCTTTACAGCGTGGGCAACCCTCCACAGACACGCATGTCCCAGGCCCCCACTTTACCCAACATGCTGTTCTCTGAGGCGTCTGAAGGGGCAGAGGTTAGTGCTGTGAATATTACTGTGTATATAATATAGGTTAAAGATGTTTTAAATGGGGAAATGAGGAAAAAGTAAATAGAGCAAAGAGGAAATTGTCTGACAACAGTTGTGATAGTTGAATGAGTTGATAGTTAAAAAAAGTGAATTTAGCTCTGAAACTGACAAAAGGCTGTTAAAGTTATGAGTCAAAAATAAAAATGAGTTGTTAAAAAAATAATATTGCTAGTTAAATGATAAAAATAATGATAACCTAATTAATTTTAGTTTTCTATTTACCTTTCACTGTTATTCTCACTCGTTTTATTTTTTAGGAAAACATTTAATATTTTACCTGTTCCCTACAGCAAACAAGCAGACTGTGTGTACAGCTATCTTAACAGTTTACAGTTAGCTACCTAGCTGATACTAACCTCCCATATAAAGCATGTTAATCCTCCGTACTGAACTGCATACTGCTGAAGTGACGCTGTATAAGCTCTTGTAACAGTATCTAAAGCCTTTAGTTAGCTAGCTAATGGCCACAGTTCATTCTAAGGCAACAAAAACACAACCATTCTTATTTTCAGGTTATTATACACTAATGAAAACATACCTACATTTCTGACAATAGATCCTCGTAAATTTTACACGATGGACATTTTAATTGATGTGTTCTGCTATATTTCTGACTGCCTTTTGTCGATTTTGGTACTCTGGGATCTCAGGTGTCTGATGTCTGAAGGAACTCATTTAAATATACAGTCATGTAGTTTCATGTTTTCCATGTACGTTATGTAGCTGTTTACAACAAACAGAAGTGCCCTTCACAAGCATCTTGGATGTGAAAGGGTAGTTTTTTCCAGTGTTGTTGGCCTGAAGGGACCTTTATTCAATTCACTATATGTCAAAAACAGGGAAGGGACAGAAAGGGAGTGTTGTGTTCTGGCTGCTGACCTCAGCTTTTAATATTAGCACAAGTTCAGTATGTACTGTCTGCTTTCTCTACCTTCCTCGCAGGACTCTCTAAATGGTTTCTGTGCAGCAGACTCAGACGACTGATCTGACAGTTAAAGAGGTATTTTCAGTCTTTTCCTCATATCTATCACGTGGAACATCTGTACTCTCCACCTCGCATATCTTACACATTTGTTTTGCCATTCAACCCAGGCTGTTCTCCACATGGATGTATCGCCAGTTCTGAGGACCAACGGTAAAATCCCAACCAGCTTCAGCCATAACATTCTTATGCACTGTATTACGCACCATATCTGTGTAACCTTCGGTTTTTGTTGGATAGGTTATGTATGTGTTAGTGTGAGTGTAGACATACATGAATTCAATGCCTTTGCACAATAGCCTTCAAACTTAGGCTGCAATCCACCTCAGATAAATAATATAAATAAAGTAATCTCTTAGCACACTCCACATAATGTAGTCTACAGTCATAATATGCTGTATTAGATGTAGAACATGTTGATTGTACATTTTATACCTCATTGTAAGCTGTTGCCTTCCATTTAGTGTAAGACTTGAGGAAAGCCATGCACAGCGTTAGTTTTTCCTCAGATTCTCTCTCAAAGTTACCTGTTAAACTTTCCAGGTAATGTCCATCCTTCCTAGGGTGGTCTGACGAGACGTAATAATAATTTTATTTTGAAGGGTAATTTAAAGCAGTGGTTCCCAACCTGGGGGTCAGGACTCCCGCTAGGGGTCGCCAAAGCTTTACAAAGGCTCCCAAGACCTTCTTGATTTTAAGGTGTGCGAGAAAACCTTAAAAATATACACAGTATGAACACAGTAGGGCTATATCTACTATATCTATCTATAAAATAAGCCTAATAATCTGTATAGTTGTTAAAAAATACATAATAGAGACAGAGAATTGTATAAAAAGTTCCCTAAACAGGAAATAATCTGCTCAAAATTCATCAGAATCACTCATTTTACACAAACTTCTTGCAGTTACTGAGGTCACTATTGTATAATAATTGTACAGTTTTGAATATAATATGAAATATCCATAAAATATGTCACTTTGTCAGGGGTCGTCAGTGTACTAAATGATAGAAAAGGGGTCCCTTGAGGAAAGGTTGGGAACCACTGATTTAAAGCATATTAAATTGCAGCTTAGTTTCCAGTGGGCAGGCACAAGCTGTAAAAACAAATGAAATGTGTTGTCTAGCCCTATAAAAAGTGCAGCAACTACTGTGCTTTTTCTACTGTGACATTCAGAGGTGTGGAAACGAGTCACAAATTTGATGACTATAGACTGGACTGGAAAAAAAAAAAAAGAAAAGACTTTCAACTCAACTTGGACTTTCTTAATACCTTCCGTAGTATGTTATTTAAAAAGGGTTCATATTTATTCCTCCGTGAAGTAGGTGGCTAACTCTAGAACTATTTTCTAGAACCTGTCCATTGTTTTTTTTAAAGATTTTTCTTTTTATTTCATGTGGATATAAAACATGAAACAACAAAGGGTGAATTGGTTTGATGAGTATCGTTTTGTAGCCTCGAGTCCGTTGGTTTTTCAGGGCCAGTGGTGGTGACATACTCATTGACCATAAACCACTCCTTAGGAAACTGTTACTGAGCTAACAAATCAAGTGAGAAGTTGGGTCATTTCTCCTCAAGGCTCATTACTATTGTTGTTCTTTTTTGCAATCCACAGAGCTGCCCCCTGTTGGCTATTAGAAAGATTCAATATTCCTTTATTGTTCTATCTCATTATACATGTATAAGAGAGTAAAGTTCTTAGGTTTAAGACACTTAAATGATCTGCATTAGCTACATTTCACAGACCTGCAAGCTCTATCCCTTTTTAATTAAATACTCTCAGTAGTAACATTGAACATACAATATTGCTTGAAGGAAGAATAGTCTCACCAATACCAGTTTTAAAAAGCATTCCAGATTTGTGTGAATTTAATATATTAGTACTCTTCATTCGGTGAAGAGCACATTATGACTTTATTAGGACTCGAAGCTCTAAGTCTATCTCTAAGGACTCTGGATTAGAGTGCAAAGACTTAAGACTTTATCTTGTGACTTGCAAAACAATGACCTGGTCCCACCTCTGGATATTTATTCCCTTCTTCTGTTCAACGATGCCTACCTGTATGTTTTGCCTTCTACTCAAACAGCAGCTTTTAATATATTCAGCCGCCTGTGATAATGTAAAGCTGAACTTATTTGATCTCCTGAAAATGTATGCAAATTTCTCAATGCATTTTAATTTCTTCATAAGGAAAACCAAATCAGTCATGTATCTCTGATACAATAAAGATACTGTATGTATAAGTACTGCCTTCATAGTAACCATATGGATAATATCCAGTCACATGACTTTGATTTCAATGTCAGGAATAAATCAATCGTTGGTAAAAGTGCCTTTATTTAAAGGCCTATAAGGCTGTGATAATAGTAATGAAGAGTATTTAAAATATTTTCGCATATACATGATATGCTAATGTGGGTTTCACCTTAATCAAAGGATTGGCAATAAATTTGGATGTCTTAAAAAGAGCTTTAATGTTATTGCACACTGTGCTGTATATGTTTCATTAAATAAAGTTAATTTTAAGCAGTTTTTACATTGACTTCTGTTTTTTCCAGAGTATTTAAGAGTATTTTGACCTCAGGAAAGCATTTAATTTAGTGAAGAAGTGTGTTAGCTGTAGTATAGTTCCTGTGTGCTAAACTTCATGTCTCTAAAAAGCCGGAGACACTAACATCACCAGAGCTAAAAAAACATCATCTTAAGTCAAATATAGATTTGTAAACTAGATGTTTATGGTAAGATGTGGTGTTAAATTACATGTATGGTGCCCTGGATAGCTGACCCGGTAGAGCCGGAGCTCCATGTACCAAGGCTGCGTCTTTGCTGCAGCAGCCAAGGGTTCGAATCTGACCTAGTTTTTGTAACCTAATGGAGAAACTCGTGTAACGGTCCACTCTGTTTGTGATGCTGATAAGATGTCAAGTTCTAATAATCTAAACTGATCCAACACTGACATAAAGTTTAGTTATGAACATGATCATTGAGTCACTCCTAACCTTTGTACAAATTACACACACAAAGCTTTTTGTAGCATATTAAGTTCTAAATTAGGAGTTATTATTTTTGTTCTGCTGACTGAATGTTTTATTATGTAATTATGTAACATGCTTTAAACGAATGTGCTTTACTTTTATAAACTGCAGAGAGTCATTAGGGAAACGGAGGAGGAAACGTGTACATGCCACATAAACAGTTATATTTCAGAGAATTTAATCTGCCAGTTGCTTTGACGCCTGCAATGAACCTTAAATGAGTGGATTCAGATAAAAAGCTCTGATTAACATCCAAGCTGATTACAGATGTTAAACAAAAATAGGCTACGGATATTAAATGGGAATGGATGTACTGTAATGTGTTAGTCATTCTTAGTTGTTTTAGAAAAGTACTATTAATCAAACAGAACTTGACACATCCATTTAACTGGATGTCCAGGTGCATCCTGATGCCCATCAAGTCTTGAAGGTTTGGGCATTGACATTTATTTTAATATTCTCAGAACTGCGACATCATTAGTGTCAAAACATCTCCAACGTGTGTCAGAGGCAGAGGGAGTGTAATGAGATGACTTCTTACCAGCTAAAACAGATGGAGAAATTAAATCTGGGTGAGAGGTAGAAATAACATTGATTTACTTGTGAACTGTACAATTTTCAGGTAGTTGTATTTTACTTGATTATTTGTGCAACTTCAGCTTCATACTGCACTTCCTTTTAAATGAAATATTGTATGTTTTACTCTTTTCTTATCTGTCCAGACTAACGTGTAAAGACCTTTTTGGCATGTAATCCCTAGAGACAAAGCAATGTCATCTTGTGACCTCTTGTCAAAAGTTGCAACGTTGAGTGGTGAGCAGTTCAACCAAATAATGATGAAGAGCGTTTAGGCTCGAGATGATAAAACCATGCAGTATGTTACAAAAGTAAAAATGGAGAAAAGTCATAACTTGTTAATCATCTCATGACACCTTAGATTTATATACTAATATACTTTTAAAGACATATACAGATAGTCTGCTTGGAACAATAATGTTATTAAATATATGTTTTTCCAGTACATAAAATATAATTTCCACATTAAAATATTTTAAAAGACATCTACTCCTTCTACCTCATGATATATATAAAATACTAGAATCTATGAATATGCTAATCTTGTTCATTTCTAAAGTTTTCCTTCTGTCTCTTACTTTACTGTGAAGTCCATTCTCCATTCTAGATTGACTTCCAAACTTTCAAACTGATCAATTAATCAATCAGACTTTATTTTTATAGCACTTTTCATAGTGCTTCTCACAATAAAACACACACACACACCCCTAACCCATACAAAGTAATAAATGACTTTGTAATCAATAAAACACTCAATAAAAAACACAAATAGAAGGAACGCCGTCTCATTATTTGACAGTGAGGAAACACCAGAGGCAAAAGGGTAAAAGGGTATATAAAGTAATAAAACTGAGTCAAATATAGAAATACACAAATATGAATGAATGACTCAAAAACATGTTGGAAAACTTCTGTTATGACTCATATTTGTGAACATATTTTTGAGTAAAAGGGAACTTTAAGTACCACACATGGAGAAGCTACTACTGTAAAATACTGCTTACATGTAGTACATCCATAAGGATCTGACTGTTATTTCCCCCAACTACAGTGACTCCAAACCATGCTGGCAAACCTCGGTTATGACTGTACAGGAAATCCAACCAGTTTGCTTTGTGGATTAAAATAACCATAATTAAAGAGACTGAAAACTGGTATGACCGGGTCAAGAGCCTCATAAGAAACTCATACAGTTTAAGTAGTGTACAGTGAATGAAGAGAACATCCACGCTCAAACATTTTTAGGCCGGTTTATTGGGTACAATTAGCTAAAAGTAATCCAGTCTAACAATGCAATTAATCAACCTTAGTGAAGGTTAAAATGTTCAGTTTTGTTGAAACTGTTTCAGAGAGGTGTTGATTCAACTGTATGATCATTTTGTAGTTCTGTTCAACTGTGTTATTTTATTTATGTAAATTAGTTGGACAAATAAGCCTCTGTCATACAGTTGAATCAACAAAAACTGAGTATGAAGGGAGGATTTATTGCAGAACTGTTGTATTAGATTGCATTAGTTTAGTTAACTAGCAACTGAGTGTATATTCTGTGTCATTTAGACTAGGTTTAGACATACAGCACTAAAGGGGTTTGGTTGAAGTGTAATAGAAGTTTCCCTTAATGTCTCAAAAAGGATTTTTTTTACCTGTCTGTTTGGATTCCTTCAAACTTTTAAGATTTTCTCTCCCCTTTATTAGAAAAATGTTTAATTCTTTCACGACTTTCAAAGTAAGGTTTCTGTTGGATCTTACTTCAAAAGTCTCAACAGACTTTCTTTCATCTTTATAAGAATGACCAATTTGACTTTTATTCCTATTTAGAGTTTAGTGATAATGGGGGAAAAAATAATTATGGGCTCTTTTTTTATGTGTGTTATCTACAGTATTTGTTCTGTTTCTTGCTGTCTTCTTGCTTTCATGTCTGTGATAATGTCATTCAAATCAGCTGGCCTCATTGGCTGTGCCACCCCCTTCCTTATAAATTGCTTCATCTGATCCTCCTGCTGCCACTTTGTAATCTGCCTTTGAGGATTTGTTTACACGCAGCGACACGAACACGACACACAACAACATGAGGACCGTCGGGTGGAGTGTTTTGGTTTTATCGTTTGCCTTTCTTGCTTCAGGTAAATTAAAACATACACATCCACATTTCGCAGATTGTTGATTGTTTTGATATCGGAACTGACGGTGGTTTATTGCGTTATTTAAAAAAAAAATGTATTTCACAAAATAATAGCTCAAGTACCAAAGACATGCTCTCCACCGCCCGAATACCCGCACACCACACTGGACCAGAGATACAAGACCATGCAGAAGTTCGTCAGCGGGGAGAAAGTTTATTATAACTGCGCAGAGGATTTCACTCCCGCCAGAGGTATGCGGGCTGTGCAGTGTGAGGATGGAAAATGGACCAAACTGACTCTAAAATGCGAAAGTGAGTACCTGGCACACATATTGACAACCAGATCCATGAATAAAAAAGGTAAAGAGGCGGTTAAATGTTGTTTTTCCTGCTGATTGATTGATTGGTGACATATTCCAGAGCTATAATGTGACTTTTAAACCTATTTAAAGCACCAACAGAAGTTACCTGAGTCAAGTGGGTAACCTACATGTCATCCCAATACGGTTTATAAATTTAGGAACCAACAAAATTATAATTCTTATCTGACTGCCTACTAAGACACCTGAGAAGACATGGATTTATTTATGAAGCTTTTTATTTAGATAACCTAAACAATTACACTAGATTAAAGGGTATAGGTTCAAGCCCTTTTAGATCTGTTTGTACTATTACAGGCTGCAAATAAAAGTTTCCACACTCCGTCTCTTTTCTGGGAATGCGTCACAAATCAACCCAACCTTCCAAAATTTCCTTTTTTGGAAGTTTGCTGTTGTCAAGCTGAGAAAGTCCTAAATCAGCTACATACTGCTGGACCTTTTTTCAATACTCACACTCTTAAGAGTGACTGGTTGCTTTAGTTGTTCCTCCTGTTCATACTGCCCATGTAGAGCTCTATCCTTTAAATAACACTGTTATCCAGTAGCTTAGGTTTAGAGTCTGAAAGCAAACAAACGGCCGTCTTGGAATCCCAGATACTACCATTATGTTATATTCATAGTCTTCAATTAACTTTCTGGGTGTAGTTAGACTGGATCTGATGTCTGACAATAGAACTGGCTTAAATTCTTCATATCAAACTTTAAACTTTCTTTTCTCTGTATTTTAATGGGAGATGTCCTGTTATTGCCTAAGGAGGTACTCTGAACTGAACTGTTGAAATATAAGGCAACCACTAGGAAATGATGTAGCTTTTCATGGTTTTATATTTAGTATTTGGTAAAAATGTCTACTCTTACTAGAGTTTCTTCTCCGGTAATCTGTTTCCTGACCTAATAACACCCGCTCTAATTTGACTCGCATGACTTGAAAATGCTACTGTAAAGCTAATTCTTGCAGACTCCAGTACAAACCAATGCAGCAAATATTTTGATCCCAAAATGAAACAACAATGGGAAATCTTCTGTGCTTGTAGTGACTGCTCAAGGGGAGAGTTGAGCTGAAAAATGGTTCAATGTTAAGCTCAGGAACACTTGATGGGGTTCAAGTGTTCAACCAAAGCCTTCTAACAGAAGTACACTACATTATAAACTAAAATATGTCACTGTTTTTCAGAAGATGTTATAAACACATGTTCTGTAAGAAACTGCCCCGTAGCTTTCTGGCAAAATTCTCTCAAGTTGGCCTTTGCAGTGGGCTGTTTTTGCAGCTTTGTAAAATAAAGAAGTCTCTGTCTAGTTGTTTTTCTTCATCTGGCAAATCAGATTTCAACCCTACATTCCTGTTCTGATTGGCCATTTACTCTCCATCCCATGTCTCTCCATCTCATTCCCCCCTCCCCCCCATCTCATCTCTAACAGAGAAATCATGCGGCAATGCCGGGGATCTACCTAATGGTCAGTTTGAGTATGAAGGGAATTCATTCCTCGGGGAGAAGGTTTATGCTATATGCAATGAAGGGTAAGTTGAAGCCTGAACTATATCGTGTAAAACGTGGTCACAGTAACCCATATGAATTTGTGTTTGACTATACAGCATATCTCCATGTTCACAGATACACTGTGAAAGGACTCAACTATATGATATGCAAGAAGACTGGCTGGACAGGTGACTTTCCATCTTGTGAAGGTGAGCAACAGACAAATATATTCTTACTCATCTGAAACCCATTCATAGTCTTGACACATTGTAGTTGCCGCACCTTAAGAGGATGTCTTAAGTGGGCAGTGTTGGTTACTACTCACTGAATGTGACGCACAATTTAATCTCTTAATGCACTTAAACCTATTTTCTATTATACTAATAAAGGTGTGAAACTATTTAGTTAAGACAAAGATTTGTCTGTTTTTTTTTTTTTTTTTAAAGTGCAGATCATGGGTTTGGATTTTTGTATAAGTAACAATAAGTTTGTGTAACAAATCCAAATGTGGAACAAAATGTTTGTGTGGGACATCTTACCAGTGCTTTAAACTTTAAACATTTCTATTCTGCCCCTAAGCTCGTAACAACACTAAGGCTTGCCCTCTGGTTGATTTAGTATCACACAATAGACTGTGCAGGTTAGGTCTGTAGCATGTGAAGGACTTAAATACACTTTATTTGAATGCCACTTTCAGAAATACTTTATTAATCCCCGGGGGGGATTTTGTTTTGCGGCCCCCATGTTAAAGGACCAGTGTGTATGACTTGGTGGCATCTAGTGGTGAAGTTGCAGATTGCCACTAAGTAAACACCGTGTGTAGGAGAAACTACGGTGGCTGCGAAACTTGAAAAATGTGACAGGCCCCATCTATAGCCAGTGTTTGGGTTGTCTCTTCTGGGCTACTATAGAAACATGGCAATTCAAAATGGTAGATAAAAATGGCTTTAAGGTAACACTAATTCCTATATCCAGGTCATTATACACTAATGAATAAGTGCTCATGTATACTATCTTTAAGTAAATACAGTGGGCATGAAAGGAAGCTAGTTTCACATGATCTTATGCCATGGTCTCCTTTCACCAGCTTCACCCACTTATAACTAGTTTCCCTATTGTCTTTGTAGCTGCATTCCCTTTCATTTGTCGTAATCTTCATATTTCATCTTTCATCTTCATCTTCATCTAATCGTAATCTTGGATTAAAACAGATTTTAAAAAAAACATCTGCCGTTATTTGACTTGTAGCCAATAAAAGTGAGTGTCTCAATATGTAGGGGAAATGCTGTTCATTCCCGCAGTGTGGGACCTGGTCACTCTATTTTGTATGCGTCAGGCGTCTTAAACTTGTCAACGAGGTAAATTTTAGTGCGCCATCAGACGGTGCCAATCAATTCAGTGGACAAAATTCCAGAGATGTATAATTTTCATCTCTTCAGAGGGAGTAGCCACCTGTTCCAGCCCTGCCGTGTCCAACTCTGTGAGCAGTGGTGGAGATGTTTCTGTGTACCAGGTGGGAGACGGCCTGACCTTCACCTGCAGTCAGGGTTTCCAGTTGGATGGAGCTCAACAGATCACCTGTGGTTCTGGTGGCCAGTGGCAGCCTCTACCCCCTCGGTGCCTGCCTTCACCTGATAAAACTCAGGATCTTGATAAAGAAAGTGAGTTTAGTATTAAGATTTTTAAACGGTATGACGAACTGTCATTATCTCAGTGTAATTAAAAGGAGCTGGTAAAATATCTTACTTTCCACTATCTGTTCAGCAGGTGGATGTGGCGTGCCAGTAACCAGCAGCAACTCAAACGCCCACCTTGCTGACATGTACATCACAAAGACATCTTTTGCTTCTGGTGACACAGTCCAATACAAGTGCGACGTTGGACACATTCAAGCAGGAGGCAGCAGGTATCGCAAGTGTATCAACGGAAAGTGGACAACACTGCGGCTAAAATGTGAAAGTAAGCTTTTTAATAATCCTTCAGTTAGACTTTCATTCAAACCTTTATGAATGTTTTATGCTTCACATTGTTACTGTCAACCATTTACATAGCATAGTGCAGTGACTTAACTTTTTTGAAATTAGTTGTTT